TTGCACGGCTGGGCCTGATTCAGTCTGGTAGGTAAAATACCAATTCTTTTTCTTTGCACGGCTGGGCCTGATGGGATCATGGCAGTCTTCTCTCCCACCTCAAGAGCTCTCAAGCAGAAGTTCTCATAATCTCAAGATGGTAACCTCTCTGGGTTCTAAGGCCCACAACAAGAGCTGGGAGGGACTTTCCCATTTTGTGCCAGACACATTTCACAGAGAACTCATGTATCTGAATGACCAAACAAAAGCATGAGAAGGAATACAAAATCTGTGCCAGGCCGTTCACACTGTTTCACTAGTGCCCTGAGGTCCACATGGATTTCAGGAAAGTTGAAGTATGTCAAGCCTGTGGCAAATTGAAAAATGTCCTTCAGATGTACCTTTTAGACCTAGAATGTGGCCTGCCCATCCAGGTTCATGATTCAGGATTGTGTTTTAAAGGTGGTATGTCAAAGTCAGATGTCAATAACAAATACTACATGCAGAATATGAGAGAGGAATTTCTAACTCAGATGGAACATGCGAGATGGCCTGCTGGGGAAAGCCACATCTACCAGTGACATGCTGCTCATACTGCCTTGAACTATGCTCAATTACCTGAAGAATAAATGGTCCTGTTGGAGTGAGACTGTATCTCTAGGTAAGAGATTGTATCTTCCGGGTGAAGATATGGCATTGCTTCTGCGCGTGGAGAGAGGCCACCTCTTCCCACACTGCACGAGTGGGGCTTATTCCTGTCCCTCAGTTTCACTGCCAGCTCACGTGCATCCCAGCCCTCCTCCCCCTTTGCTGCATTATGTTTACTGCTTTCTGACTGCTCTCTCCACCCCATGTCATCTCACACAGCGCACTGCTCTGTTGGTTCTGATGAGTAGTTTGAAATTTGGCTTACGCAATAGAAATATTTTTCAGTGGGAGACTTTGAGCCCACTTACAGTCAAAACATATAATATTTGAGCCACTTAATTGAGATAAGAGAAAAGTAGTGTCAATGATATTGCCTCAGGCTTGTTAGAATGGCTCTTATCAAAAAGACGAATGATAAGTGTTGGTGAGAATGTGGAGAAAAGGGAACTCTCATCCACTGTTGGTAGGAACATAAAGTAGAAGAGCCATCCAGGGAAACATTATGGATGCTCATAAAAAGACGGAAAATAAAAGTACTATATTGTTATGGGGTCCTTGGGGTATTGCTTGGCCAGCCAGAAACCTCTGTGTCCAGTGGTGCCTTTGCCCAGGTTTTGCTCAGGCCCGTTGGGCCCGCCTGGCCTGCCAGGCTGTGCTCAGCTTGTGCTACCAGCGTGGATCCCACGCCTGCCAAGGGCAAGAGGGGCAGCAAGGGGTGTGTGATGAGTGAGCAAGCACAGAGTCCAGCCAGTGCACATGCAGGCACACGGGCTGCAGGGGGATGGGCGGCTCCAGGTGCTGGTGTGGCGCTGGCTCCCTGTAAATCCACAGCTGGACCCCGCAGTCTAAGCAGCAGGAACTGCAGAGCCCTAATGAGGGTGTCACAGCCTTGGTCTGGGGAGCTCTTATATCTGGGTTCCCTGAAGGGTCACAGTTCTTCTCTCCTTCTCTCTTCTCTTCTTGTGACCTGCAATATGGCCAGCAATGGTGTGTTCCAGCCTTACTTGTGTTACAGCTCTTTTAGCCCCATCATTTGGCAGGTCCCAAGTTCTTATCCTGGACCAGGAAGAATGAGGTATGCAGACAAGTGGAGAGTAAGCGAGGTTTGGATGAGTGGATGAGTTTCACTGAGTGACAAAACAGCGCAGAGAAGATTCGCAGTGGGTAGCTTCTTTCCACAGCCAGGGTGTCCCAATGAGTGTCCGGCTTTTAGCAGAGAGGAGACCCTGGGTGGGTAGCTCCTCTCTGCAGCTGGTCATCCCATCATCTCCTTGAGTCTTGCTGAGTCTGAGGCCCAGCTTTTACATGCTTCAGAGGGGAGAAAGTTCATGCCGATTGGTCTGTGGGTGGCTATGGGTGGGCTCGGAAAAACCACCACCAGCTATCACTTTAGTCTGTGGGACTGGCAGCTGGACCCCAGACTTCAGGCCTTCCCCAGTGGGAAAGTGGGGCTTCACTAGGGACCCATACCCTTCCACCCAGGAACCTGTCTGACTCTGGCTGTCATTCATGGTGCCCAGGCTGTTTGTGCCAAGGGTGCCAAGCTGCCCTCAGCCCCCCTAGGCCTCCCTCCCATGTTCGTTGGTGTCCAAAGTCTGGAAGGGGCCGAGGTAGCAGGTCGCTGGCGTGTCAGCACTGCCCCAAGTGTGCACACACCCAGCCAGTTGTGAGTGTGCATGGGCTCAGACTCAGCTTTTCTCTGTGCTTGGAGCTGCCGACAGTGAGAAGTCAGACAGCTTGGAACAAGCACTTCCAAGCCAGTGGGGGTGTGGGGACCTTCTTGGGCCCTCAAGAGTGCAGAGATGCCTGGGTCTGCAGCCGTGACAGCCGCACCCAGGAGGGTGGGGCTCCTGCCTGCTCCAGCTCCCATGAGCACAGGGGTGCCCAGCTCACCTATGGATCAACCCCCAAGAACGTTTATAATTTCTCTAGAATGGCATCACCCTTCTGGCATCACCCTCTGGATCAGGGATGTTGGCCTGGCTCTGAGGCAGACAACCTTCTACCCTCCCTGTGCCTCCTGGGTCAAGACTTGGAAACCTCACCAGGATGCACTGCCAGTGGCAACAGGTCAAGGACGGGGTCCCCTTGGGAGGTACAAGTGGTCTGGGGCTCCCAGGAGAATTTAGAACTTTCTGCAGACAGATGCCTCTTTTTCCTCATTTTTGGTCCAACTGATATACTGGGTGGTGAGTTAAACTTTACATTTTAATTTATATATATATATATATATTTTTTTTTTCAATTTACATAAGATGCATATTTAAACAATCAGACACTGGATTTGAAGGGAAAAGTATTTTAGATTCATTCTTTTCTTTCAAGTGTCATTTAGTCCTATGTATGAACAGATTTGCCCTATGTGTAACAACTATGTAGAAGAAAAGTTACGAAATTGTTTTGGTTTTTCAATTCTATATTAAAAAACATTAAAATTAACTCATTAAACCATTTATGCAAGAGTATTATGGTTTTTGTTGTTTAAGTCCTGAAATACAGAGATAAGGGCTGAGTGGTGGCCACTGGTGGAGAGAGTCTTCACAGGACCAGTATTATTCTGCCCCATCTCATTTGGATGCTCAACAACATGTCATTTAGCAAGCAAAAACAGCAGTGTGCTTGTGTGCCTACCCCAGATTTTTATGTGCAATAATGGAATGGGGAAGGGGAAAATAAAAGAATGGAGAAAAAGATGCTGTACCAGCCAGAACGTGGTGAAGTCACATTGTGGTTTTCTACACTAGAGTGCCTGCTTGAGCTGTAGGGAGAAGTTCTGGGTAAGGCAGCAGGTGTGTTTTTAGAAGACACTCCTGTCTGCCGCTGGAACACACTTATTTGTTCTCCATTTCCAGCTTTGCAGGTGTGTCAGTTTCACTGAGTGACCAGCTGTAAAATCCAAATCTGATTTGCTTCATGGCCAAACCCTGCCATTCACCATAGACTTCCACTCGTTCATTAAGGGATGTGTGCTTCTTCCCCTTCAACTGCACCCCAGAAACATCCTACCCTCCACCTTCAAATTCATAGAATTGTTGTTCTGTCTTGAGTCAAACTTTGTTTCTGCCAGTGGCAGAGCACTGAAAGTCTCTTGAGTTACAGCTTCACAGCAGAGGTCTAAAGTCTGCACAGAACTAGCAAATCTGCAGCCGTGGGAGCAGCGGCATGAGGGGCAGCAGAGCTTCATTCCATGTTTTCATCACCATTCCTACAACAGCAGAAGCAGCAGCAGCAACAACAGCTACTACTTCTAAATGTGGTAAAAATACTTAGCATAACGACGAATAACAATAATTGTAGTTGTTGACATTTTTGGTTCATGTATGATTATTTGTAATGTTCTGCAATTTACTTTTAGTAGTATGCACATAACTTTTGTCATAAACATCAGGACTTCAAAACACCACACCTGATGAATGGATCTCACCGGTGGACCTGTGGTCTTCACCTGCTGGTACAGGTCCTCTCACCACTCCATCTCCAGACCTAGGATCTGGTCCACCTTCTGAGTCAGTATGGTAGCGTTGACACTCACATGACCTATTTGAGGTCTTGGAAAACAACCTTGCCTTGTTAAAAAACCAAAGGATGGCTTCAAATTGTATTCAGCTGTTTGGCTAAATCGCAGCAGAAAGAATTTTTTCTCAGCAAGTCTATTTTTATGTTACTTGCTTTCAGAGTAAGAGATTATTTCAGACAAAGTAGTTTGATTTAGTCTTTGTTGAAAATCATAAATAGCCTACAAATAACCAAAAGGGATGAATAGAATTTGCGTTCATATGGAGTGCATCATATATGCTTTTAAATTTATCCTGTGAAAAGAAATAAAATATATATAACATTGAGCACTGCTTTTCTAAATTAGGAAATCAACCATTTCCTCAAATTATCCCAAGTTCTTCCAAGATGCTTCAGAAACGTTCTCTGGAGGCAGTTGTTCCAAATGGCGAAGAGTACTGGATGGATCGGAATCTCACAGGATTCTTGCTTCTATTGCAGAAGAGTTACTTTCCAGGACTTGCAAGGTTTGGAGAAGCTGCTTGATTCGTGTGGTTTACAGAGGTGCATGAGCTTTGGAGTCAGGAAAAGTTAATCCTGAGTCTCAGCACAGCCTCTTAGTAGCTGTGGGACTTTGGACAAGTTTCTTGTCTTGGAAAGTTATATAAACCTCATCTGCAAGAAAAGGTAGGATACTGATTGCAAAAATGACACCAATTCATTTTATGCCCTTTGTGATGTGCTTTTTTTTTTTTTTGGAGACGGAGTTTCGCTCTTGTTACCCAGGCTGGAGTGCAACGGCGTGATCTCGGCTCACCGCAACCTCCGCCTCCTGGGTTCAAGCAATTCTCCTGCCTCAGCCTCCTGAGTAGCTGGGACTACAGGCACGCGCCACCATGCCCAGCTAATTTTTTGTAGTTTTAGTAGAGACAGGGTTTCACCATATTGACCAGGATGGTCTCGATCTCTTGACCTCGTGATCCACCCGCCTCGGCCTCCCAAAGTGCTGGGATTACAGGCTTGAGCCACCGCGCCCGGCCTTGTGATATGCTTTTATAGCTGCTTTCATTGAGAGGCAGAATCTGTCTCCCAAACCTTGAATCTCATTGGCCTTACTTGCTCTGGCCAATAGAAAGCTGTGAACATGACCGTGTGCCAGTCTGGGGCTTAGGCACAAGAGCTCTTCAGTGCTTCCGTGTTTTATTTCGGAACCCTGGCATCTCCATGATAACAAGTCCATGTAAGCCTGCTAGAGGATGAGATATTTCAGGGAGGAAAACCAAAGTGCCACAGTTGACAGGCAGCTCGCCCTCAGAAGCAGCGTTGCCTAGTCAACCAGAAGCCGACCACACATGCCTGAAAAGGCCCGGCTGAGACCAAAAGAATGGCTCATCTGAGCACAGCCTAAAAGGTGGACCAGCTCAATCTAATAAGTTTTACTATGAAGTAATAGCTAATACATACACCTAGCGCAGACAGGATGCCAGGATTCAATGACATGTTGATGACAAGTTACCAGAGAGAAGGCACCTCTATGTACTGACTTCCTTTTCCCTTTATGTAAAGTTGGATCTCTGGTTAGATGGTGTTGAGCGATACAGAAGTGCATGTAGATGTGCATGCGTGTGATTGGTGCTTAATCTCACACACTTGAATTCCACACCAGAGGAGGAAACAGAAAATCACAGCCTGACCCTTAGAGCCAAAGCCAAATTGCAAAATGAAAAGGGTGTCTTTAAAGTATTCCCTCCACATCTAAACTCTGAGGTTAAGGCTGTGGACAAATCTGAAGACATGGGTTCTCTACTCCTGGGGCCCCTCAGCTTTTTTCCACTGTCTTTTCTTTAGAAGAGCCTAGGCCCCTGACAGGTGGGAAGTAGTAGACTCCCCCTAGATACTTCTTTTTTTTTTTTTTCAGATGGAGTTTTGCGCTTGTTGCCCAGGTTGGAGTGCAGCATTGTAAACTCTCGGCTCACTGTAAACTCTGCCTCCTGGGCTCAAGGGATTTTCCTCTCTCAGCCTCCCTAGTAGCTGGGATTACAGTTGCGCGCCACCACGCCTGGCTAATTTTTGTATTTTTTTTTTTTTTTTTTTTGGAGACGGAGTTTCGCTCTTGTTACCCAGGCTGGAGTGCAATGGCGCGATCTCGGCTCACTGCAACCTCCGCCTCCTGGGTTCAGGCAATTCTCCTGCCTCAGCCTCCTGAGTAGCTGGGATTACAGGCACACGCCACCATGCCCAGCTAATTTTTTGTATTTTTAGTAGAGACAGGGTTTCACCATGTTGACCAGGATGGTCTCGATCTCCTGACCTCGTGATCCACCCGCCTCGGCCTCCCAAAGTGCTGGGATTACAGGCTTGAGCCACCGCGCCCGGCCTAATTTTTGTATTTTTACTAGAGAAGGGGTTTCATCATATTAGTCAGGCTGGTCTTGTACTCCTGATCTCAGGTGATCCACCTGCCTCGGCCTCCCAAAGTGTTGGGATTGCAGATGTGAGCCACTGCGCCTGGCCTCTTAGATACTTCTTTATTGCAGCCCACTTCTCTCTCTGGGCACCGTCTCTGCCACACTTGGGTCCAAGGAGAGATGTTGGCAGAAAGAGGGCATTCCCTCACCTCTAGCAGAAAAGAGGGGTTCGGGCCCTTCACCTCCCTGAGGTCAGGGAAGTCAGAGCCCTCAAAACTGCACTTCAGCGTGAGAGCCATTGCCCACAGGGATCTACTTAGCACCTAGAATGTGGCTGGTCTGAATTGGTATGTGCTGGAAGTTGATAAAACAGTGACTCTGAAAGATTTAGTACCAAAAAAACAACGAAAAATCCGTTAATATTATATTGATCATATATTTAAATCATAACATTCTTGATGTATTGAGTTAATTTATTATAATCAATTTTATCTGTTTACTTCTCTTTTTTGTTGCTGCTAGAAATTTTTAAATGACACCTGTGGCTCGCAGGTGATTCTATGGAAGTTGCTGCCTTAGAGGCTTGCTTCCGTTTTCAAACCTCAGCCTGCTCGGACTGCTTCCCTGGAAGACCAGAGGCCATGAAAGGTAATAAGTGTGAAATTTTAAAAGAATTATCATATTGTTTCCTATTTTAAATATCATATATATTATTCACAAAGGAATGCAACGTTACATGCAAGGTTAAGAGTATATAAATGAGCCCGGCGCGGTGGCACACGCCTGTAATCCTAGCACTTTGGGAGGCCGAGGTGGGTGGATCACCTGAGGTCAGGACTTCAAGACCAGCCTGGCCAACATGGTGAAACCCCATCTTAATTAAAAAAAGAAAAAAAAAAAGAGTATATAAATGAATGTCCCCTAGGCCAGGCTAGATCCCAACCCGGAGAGGAAGCCCTCCCAGAGAAGAGCTGGAGCCAATACGCTGCCTCATTCAGACACGCGTGGGAGCGTGTCACCTGTCACTCAGGGCCGGAGGGGGCGGGGCCTGGAGCCCTATCCAATCAGGGAGACCGGGGCGGGGCTGCGCAATCAGGCGCTCGGCCAGAAAAGCCGCGGCGGCTTCCGGGTGCGCGGGCGTTTGTGTCCCGTGTCCCCACGTGCGTGGGTCGGCCCGTCGCCGCCGCCCTTCGCCTTCGCTCGCCGGGCTGCCGCAGGCTCGGCCGCAGCCTGGGGCCTCCCGTGGCCTGCAGGTGCCGAGGGACGCCCCGGAAGCCGGGAAATGGTGAGTGGCACCGCCGGGGCCTGGAGAAGGGGCGGGGGCGGCGGCGGCCGGACCCGGGCTCCCCGCGGACCGGGTTTCCGCCGTCGCGGCGCGGCCCTCGCTCCCCTCGGGCGCGGGCAGGGCCGGCGGGCAGCGGCGCCCCGGGCTCGGGTCCCGGGTCTGCGGGCGACCTCCGCCCTGCTCGAGCCCCGCGCTCCCCAGCCCGGCGCCCGCCTCCCCGCGGCGCCCCCGCGTCCTGCCGTGAGACCCGACGGTCCTCAGCGGAGAGCAGGCGCCGCGGCCACCGCCGTTTCCAGCCCCTCTTCGACCCTGTTAAAAATTAAACTCAGGTTTCATTAAAGCGTTGCAGTTTGCGCAAACAGCGGTTCGTGAGCAGGGAGCACCCAGCCACGGTTTTTGGTTTGTGGTTTGTGGGCCACCGGACGGGCTTGATGGAAAGGCTTTTATAAAGTGCGCAAGGGAGCAAACCAAATTTATTTTTTCTTTTAGTGATGGGGGCGGGGGGGGGGTTCTCCCTGTGTTGCCCAGGCTGGTCTTGAACTCCTGGTCTTAGTCTCCCGCCTCAGCCCCGCAGTGTGCTGGGATTACCCCGCCCAGCCCAAAGCAACTCCAATTTAATACTTGATTAGTGTTTTTTTTTTTTTTTTTTTTTTGAGACGGAGTTTCGCTCTTGTTACCCAGGCTGGAGTGCAATGGCGCGATCTCGGCTCACCGCAACCTCTGCCTCCTGGGTTCAGGCAATTCTCCTGCCTCAGCCTCCTGAGTAGCTGGGACTACAGGCATGCACCACCATGCCCAGCTAATTTTTTGTATTTTTAGTAGAGACAGGGTTTCACCATGTTGACCAGGATGGTCTCGATCTCTTGACCTCGTGATCCACCCGCCTCTGCCTCCCAAAGTGCTGGGATTACAGGCTTGAGCCACCGCGCCCGGCCAATACTTGATTAGTTTTAATTACGTAGTTCTGTTATTTGGACTATTTAGGTGGTTGGTTCCCGGTTATGTAATCAGAGGTAAATTGCTGATTTGGGGTTAAGTTTTCTTTGCGTTCAAGTTATTACGTTACAAGAAAGACATGACATACATTTAGGTTTCTTGGTGAGGAACTTGGCACTACGTCACTTCAGTCTAATGTCTTCCTATTTAGTGATTTCCGCGGGGGTGCTGGTTTCCCCTGCACTTTCCAGATGGATGGCAAGCAGGGTCTCAAATCCGTGGCCTGTCTCCCCACCCTAACTCTTCTAAAACTTGAGTAAAATTCCAAATTTCCAGTTTCTTCCTCACGCTGTCAAACCTCAACCTCCCCTCTCCAATTTACATGATTAACCATTTGTTCTTTTTTGTACATTTGAAACAGATGCAGTATTTTAATTGTTTATCATGTTTTCATTGAGCAGTGAGGAGCTGCTTCTGAACATTTCACCTGAGAGGAAAGCAGAGAATAATCACCTGACCTAGTCCACTGTAGAAACTTCTCTGTGCCTCTCCTCCTTTTGTCTTCCCCAGGCTCACACACTTTAGCAGAAAGTCTTTGAATGAAGGTTTCCCTTTGGAACCTTTACATGGTGATGTGTCCTCAGACACCCTCCTGCTTTTTCTGGGTCCTGGGTTCAAAACTGTTTGAGGATGACGTGCCCACCGTGGCCATGTCTCTGGGAGTGTCATAAATAGTGATTGTCAGCCCTTGGGTCCTCTTCTCCCAGAAGACAAGGTGAGGTTTAGGGGTGGAGCCTCTCAGAGAAGCTGGATGGGTGAATCCCCTGGGACTGAGAGGAGTCTCCTGGTATACTCTTCTGTCCTCTGCCTCTAAAAAGCTAACCCATTGTGAAGGAAGAGACCCCTCTTTCCTTTCTCTTGTCTCAGAGGAGAAGGAAATAAAAGTTGAGACCTAGTAGGCGTGAGGTCAGTGGCGAGGTCGGCTGGCGCCGCTGTGAGGCCTGGAGGCTAAAGATGAACCCCTCCACCCTTAATCGCACTCCTCTATAGATTGCAGGCATAATGTGGAGAATCGCCCTCCGTTCTTCTCGCTCAGCCTTGCTCAGACCCCCACCTGGTCAGGTACCCCATGCCTACTTCATCCATCGTGACCCTGTCACACGTAGTTTCTAGAACTGTAAGCCTTTTGGATTTTCTTTGTTGGGGATCTCGGTTCTTGAGGTGCAAGTCTGCTGATGCTCCCGTCGGAATAAAGCCACTTCTTTAAATCTGGTGTCTGGGAGGTTTCATCTGCGGCTTGTCCTGCTACAATTGGAACTTAGATTTTTTTTTCCTCTCACCCCTATTGCCTCTCCTTAGAGATAAAATGCTGGTCAGGCAATCAGATACTGGCATTGAGGGAAGAAAGAAATTTCTGCCCTCTGCATTCTCTCATACTTGTGAAGGGAGAACAGCTATTCAAAAGTACAAGGAATTCCCCCGCCTCCCCACCCACAGTGAGGCAGGAACCTGAAAAGCAAAATGCATTTGGGGCACAGTGAGGACACAGTGCAGTTGTTTGGGGGAGAGTGGGCATTGAGTACTTCAGTGAGCGGGGTGGGGGTGGGAGGATTCAGGTGATTAGATGGCCTGACATGACACTTGAGTCAGATGTGCCCGTGTTTGCTAGTACTGCTACTGCTTGTGTTTGTCACCTTGAAAATATTTGTTCACTTATTTTAACTTCAGTTTTTCATTGATTGAAAAGTATGTTTTATCTGTACAACTTGAGAAGAAAATGTTTTCAAAAGGGTAAGAAAGAAGTGTATGTCAGAAAAGTATTAGATAACTATTTCATTTGTTAAAAATTCTTATATTTTTTTCTTCCCCAGAGGAAGTGTAGTAAGTTTCACAAGTTGGTTCTTTTCTGGGAGTGGTTTCAACCCGAATTCCAGGGCTTAGCTTTGGGAATGCTACCAGGGAAACATAGGGACACTGTCTTCCATTATGGGTGCAGAAAAATACATTTTCACAAGAAAGTATAGTAGATAAATTAGTGAATAACAAATTCTCACTAAAACACCAGTTCCGGCCGGGTGCAGTGGCTCACGCCTGTAATCCCAGCACTTTGGGAGGCCAAGGCGGGTGGATCACGAGGTCAAGAGATCGAGACCATCCTGGTCAACGTGGTGAAACCCCGTCTCTACTAAAAATAAAAAAATAAAAAAAATTAGCTGGGCATGGTGGCGCGTGCCTGTAATCCCAGCTGCCCAGGAGGCTGAGGCAGGAGAATTGCCTGAACCCAGGAGGTGGAGGTTGTGGTGAGCCGAGGTTGCAGTGAGCCTAGATCGCGCCGTTGCACTCCAGCCTGGGTAACAAGCGCGAAACTCCGTCTAAAAAAAAAAAATCAGTTCCACCTTTGTGCAGAGCAGAGATTTTGTGACAGTGGATGACTCTGTTCTGTTTCCTGTTACTTGGATGTCCAAGTTTAATGGTAAATTCCATAGGTGGGACTTGGCATTTTTAGATAATTTCCATATGAAATAATTTGTTATGGAAATCATCAAGTGACATGTTTATTGTATGAAAGGAATACTTCTGCTTTTTGTGTTGAGATATGAAATGTAAGTGCCTTACAATTTTATTCTGTCCTATAAACATAAAAACTGAGTTTGAGTGATTTTGCTGGTTATTTTTTCATTGAAAAGTGGGAGCTGGGTGCAGTGGGTCATGCCTGTAATCTCAGCACTTTGGGAGGCCAAGGTGGGCGGATCACTTGTCAGGAGTTCGAGACCAGCCTGGCCAACAGGGTGAAACCCCGCCTCTACTAAAAATACAAAAATTAGCCCAGTGTGAAGGTACATGTCTGTAATCCCAGCTACTTGGGAGTCTGAAGCAGGAAAATCACTTGAACCCTGGAGGCGGAGGGTGCAGTGAGATTGTGACACTGCACTCCAGCCTGGTTGACAAAGAAAGACTCTGTCTCAATAAAATAAAATGAATAAAATGTGGGCTGTGTGTGGTTGCTCATGCCTGTAATCCTACCACTTTGGGAGGCTAAGGCAGAGATCACTTGAGTCCAGGAGTTGGAGACCAGCCTAGGCAACATAGCAAGATTCCGTCTCCACAAAAAGTAGAAAAGAAGCCAGGTTTGGTGGCATATGCATGTAGTCCCAGCTACTTCGAAGGCTGAGGTGGAGGATTGCTTGGGCTCAGGAGGTTGAGATTGCAGTGAGCCATGATTGCACCACTGCAATCCAGTTTAGGTGATAGTGAAACCCTGTCTCTAGAATAATAGTAATAGGCTGGGTGTGGTGACTCACACCTGTAATCCTAGCACTTTGGGAGGCTGAGGTGGGCGGATCACCTGAGTTTGGGAGTTCGAGAGTTCAAGGCCAGCCTGACCAACATGGAGAAACCCAGTCTGTGCTAAAAATACAGAATTAGCTGGGTGTGGTGGTGCAGGCCTGTCATCCCAGCTACTCAGGAGGCCGGAGAATAGCTTGAGCCCAGTAGGCAGAGGTTGTGGTGAGCTGAGATTGTGCCATTGCACTCCAGCCTGGCAACAAGAGTGAAACTCCGCTTCAAAAAAAAAAAAAAAAAAAATAGTAACAATAGTAATAATAGAAGAATAATGCCAATTATTTTAAATTATACTTCTTTTTTTTTTTTTTTTTTGAGACGGAGTCTTGCTGTGTCACCCAGGCTGGAGTCTAGAGGTGTGATCGTGGCTCACTGCAACCTCTGCTTCCTGGGTTCAAGCGATTCTCCTGCCTCAGCCTCCTGAGTAGCTGGGATTGCAGGTGCCTGCTACCACGCCCAGCTAATTTTTGTATTTTTAGTAGAGGCAGGGTTTCACCATGTTGGTCAGGCTGGGATCGAACTCCTGACCCTGTAAACTGCCCACCTCTGCCTCCCAGAGTGCTAGGATTACAGGAGTGAGCCACTGTGCCCGGCTCTTAATTACTCTTTTATTTTTATTATTTTTTTTTTTTGAGACGGAGTTTTGCTGTTGTTGCCCAGGCTGGAGTGCAATGGCGCGATCTCGGCTCACCGCAACCTCCGCCTCCTGGGTTCAAGCAATT